TTGGTAACATATTATTTAGATAATCAAGGCTCCAAGATGACAGAATTTGTTGAAAAAGGGGAAAAAAGGAGTTTTAAAATGAGTGATTGATAGGGGGCCATTAACAAGTTTCAGCAACAAATTTCTGTAGTGTGATGTCTGTAGAATTCTTGCTTGTTTTCATTTATAGAAAGCATCACGCTTCGGTAAAATCTTAGCTAGTAAAAAAGCATAGTGATGGGAAACATGCTCATGTTAATGCTCATTTCTAGAACAAAAGAGAATGAGATTTTGACAATATCAGAAGGTTAATTAAGAAGTCTGTGAGGGATGATAAAGTTGGCACATTTCAGTTCAGACTGACACAGCTCGAGACACAGGCGTTGCTAATGTTGACTCCATGATACTCTGATAAGCCACAGAACCTGAAAGATGGGGGCTGGTATCTGACCCTATAAACAGGGTCAAGAGCTAAAGGACATTCAATGGATATGCTTTCCAGTTAGATAAAGAAGCCTTTTTCCTAGACTACCTGCACTGTTACTTTTGTGTTTTGGATCCAGTAATATTGACGGAACTGGAATTAGTTTGTTCAGGGATGCATTTTAATTGTAGTCTGTAAGTTGGCTATTAGCTGGAGAGTAGGGGGGACCTGAGAATCTTGGAGCTGGAAGGGACAGTAAGGGCCCTTTGTTTTGGCCTGTCACCAATATAGAGATCCCTCCCCATCATGGTGAGCTGTCATCCATTCTTTTCTTGAAGACCCAAGGAGAGTGGGAGGTCACGCTTCACGGGGTAACCTTTCCACTTGAGGACAGTTTTTCTTCTTTTGTGTCCCCATCTCTTTGGAAGAACAGGGAAGTTACCCAAAAACATGTTTAAGAGAAGAAATACACAAATGCACATATACATGTTAGTGAACAGCAAACATCTATACGTCTGTGTGCTCATCTAGAGAGGTTTTCATTCCGGGTAAGGTCCAGCTCCCAGAGGAGTCATTCAGTGTGTCAGAAATGATGCTTTGTGCTCAGCCGTTTCGGTACATTTGTAGATCAGTGGTATTACTTATTGGTTGGTAGCCGGTTGATTGGTAGCTGTATGACACACCAAGTGATTAGTTTCAGAGACAAATAGCATGTCATTAATAAAGGAATCTTTAAGATGTACTTGAGGAACCCTAACACTCAGTTTAATGATCTTAAATTCCAAGGATATCCCACCTGGCTTATAGAGATCTGAGTCAAAAGTTGGTCCCAGGCCATATAGAAATGTAAAGTGACCAATGCATAATGTTCAATTCAAACCAGTCTCAATTTGTTGCAGATTTTTAATAAGACCTGAAAAACAAGATTCATTATTTTGTTATTCAGCCATAAAGAAACATTGCATTATTAGGTTTCTGAGGCCCTACTGCTGGGTCTGGAGGGAACTTTCTGAAGCAGAACAGGTTAAAACACCTTTCATCAGAGGAGTACAGGCATTTGAAAAGATTAATTCAGAAGAGGGCAACACATTTTGAGAGTCCAGAAAGGGAAGCAGGAGTCCCGTTCTTGCTGCATCCGTGCAGCGTGCCACATCTGCATTTGCAAACATTTCCGCTTTTGTGGAAGCAGGGAGGACACCATCTGCCTGGCATAAACTGGTTTGAATGTTATGCAAAGAACGTTCCCTGTCTGATGGAGAGCCTGGGCCTGCTCCCTGTCCTGGTCAGTGAGGGAGGGTGGAATCTTGGGTTCCACACGGAGTGATCCTTAGGAATTTCCCAAGCTTGCTCTGATCCTATGGGAGGTGAGTCCCAGACAGAAGGGACGACGGCCTCCTGGCCAGTGGACCTCTGCCAGGAGAACATCAAAGCTTGCAGCTTCCGCGCCTCCCCTGACCCTAAGGCAGTGCTTATGAAACTGGACTGTGCATACAAATCACCTGGAGGGCTTGCTAAACACAGATTCCTGCCCATCACCCCCGAAACCCAGTTTTTGATTCAGGAAGTCTGAGGGGGGGGGGCCCTGAGACTTCGCGTTTCCCCCAGGCTCCCTGGTGATGGTGATGCTGATGCTGGGCCTGGCTCTGCCCTCTGAGAACCACTGTCCCGCGCGTACCACCAAGGAAATAAAGAGAGCATAGCCAGACCCCCCCGCCTCCCTGCCAGCTGCCCGAGCCCACCTCTCCCTGGGGAGAATGAAAATGCAAGTGGGAGGAGAAGAGGTCCTCAGTCAGGGGCAGCCTGGAAGGGCAGAACTGCTGGTTGAGGGCGATGCTTAGAGGCATTAATTGTGAGACTCGACTCTGCCTAAACCGTGATGAAATAATTGAAAGCATCATAGCAAGAAGTTAAACCCTAGGGAGGCTATTAACAATTTAGCATTTCCAGTTCCTGTGGGAATGTCGATTCTACTTACCAACGCGAACGTGTTCAGGGATGTGTTCGGCGGGAGAGGCAGCAGTCAGCTGAGGTCCCTCTTGCCTTTGCTTTGACGCTCTTCCTGGAGGAAGAGAAATGCAAGCGTGAGTGTCTCACGAAGACAATGTCGGTGGCTTGTTAGGCTGTTAGGAATAGTTTCTCTCTAGCTGTCTGGTCCTGCAGGGGAAGCAGAGGTAGATGATGAAAACATTGGGGGTGAGCCAAGAGACTCAGGAAGCACATCAGGTGTTGTTTTCACATTTTGAAACCAAGTCAGTTCATTTGGACCGTTTGAAAGGCCCACTCAACACCTCTGGGCTGGACTGTCCCCCAGGAGAGGTCATTCCTCTGTGTGGGTCAAGGGAAAGAGAGCTCTCCTCACTGGCACTTCTTGGGCAGTACAGACCAGGGCAGGAATGGCAGAGAGAAGGAAAGAGATGGATATTCTAGGAAGGAGCACTGGGCGGGGAGTCAGGAGACTAATTCTCGTCTTCCCTTTGTGGTTAACTCCTCAAAGTGTGTGGCGGTGGGCCAGTCACTTAATTTCTCAGTTTCCCCACCTGTAAAATGAAGGCATTAGACTTGATGATCTCTGGTTTTTTACAACTCGAAAACCAAAACCAAAACCAAATCATGGTAACCAGATACTCAGATACTCTCCTTGATGAGCCCTTGCCTTGCCCCATGACCTAGTGCTGTGGCGGACTGGGCAGGGCTGCTGTCCCCAGAAGCTCAGCTTGCTTCAGGCCAGTAGGTTAGTAGACCAATTTGCCAATAGGAGATGCATGCAAGTGGTCAGGGCTGGATGAGGTTAACGGTTCTCCCATTTCTTGCTAGAGGTCTCTCTGAGGCACGTCAGGGTCTCTTCCCAGAGTAAGAGGCAGAGAATTTGAAATGAGACTCTCCCCTTGTGAGAGTCCGTGTACTTTGTTGCTTTTAGGCCAGGGTCACAGTACCTCAGTTGTGTGGATCTCCAAAGATAAGGATTTCAGTCTTGGCGACAAACAAAGTTATTAAATAGCTGAGGCAAGAACAAGTGTAAAAATGGATTCTCAGATTTCTCATTGAAAAACACTATGGCTAAATCTGTAGTTAATTTTACCCTCTCCTCTCAATTCATGGTACATAGAAGCAGTCACATGAAGACATACTTGTTTTTTACGTCCAATCTTCCCACTTTTGCTGGTTCATTTTGCTTGGGATTAGAGAGGAGGACATGCCTCTGTAGATGGTCTCGGGCTGGGCGGGGTCTCCGTGGCAGCCTCCCTGTGCAGCCGGGTAACAACAGATTTATGCCTGTGTGTGAGAGCTTCCATGAGCAACGCACCATTGTTACCCACCAGGCTCCTCATGAAAGGAAACCTTGTGCCGACTGCCCTGGCTGTTCTTGGCAGTGTGATCTATAGAAGGAGAACAGGATGTATTTTACACTTGAGACCTGCTATCCTAGAGTATAACAACAACTCTTCTAAGTGCTCTTAGTATTAAGCTAATGGAAAACACACTCTGTTTACTCACCATCAAAGTCTGTTTTTCTTCTCTCCCGCCTCCCCCAATCATCACAGACTCCAAGCCTCTAGAGCACACGGAGCGTCCCTGCTCCATCTGTCCTCCCCTCTGTCTCCAGGTTGACCTCTACATGCTTGGTTAGCTCAAGGTGGACTTGGAAAAGCTAGGAACTCACCACATAAGCCATATAATCCCCAGGTTGCACAAACCAAATATTTCCTTTCTCACAAAAATCTCAGTGCTAGAAATGCTTGATTTACTGCTAGATTTATGTTTATTAGTGTGAGAAGTCATTTTTCCTCACCAGAGTGCAGCCTGGAGAAGGTGGGCCACTTTTTCTAGGTGCTGCTATTTTGGGGATGCTGGGTCTCTCCTTGTCTTTGAATGGTGGGATTCCTCACCCTTCAGTGAGGACTTGGCCAAAGTTATTTTAACCCCGGAAGTCTAATCTTTTCATCCACTGCTTTGTGTTGTAAGAAACCAAGTCTATGTGGAGTACTCCATTGACAGAATTCTAGAGTGTGGCCCAACCAAGTCCTGAAATGCCCAGGGTTTCCCTATCATTGAAGGTGCTGTCATAAATACAGTGTAGGAAGAGGGGGTGGGGGACAGGGGAGGCAGAGTGGGACTCTGTTCTAGAAGAAATGATACACAAATCCACTCATTTCTGGTTAGCATATTGTTTTTGGCTTGAACTTGTCTATAAGCAAAGTAAAGATGCATGTAAACCAGCCTTGCAGATAAATCCCCGTTTTACCAGCCTTCCCATCATACGATCAATTTTCCCCTTGCTGCTTACACATCTCTTATAAGACAATAATCAAAGAATAACAAACAAACAAATGAACCAAAGAACCCTCCCCCCACTGCCCCAGACCTAGAATAAACCCCCCTTCCCTTTTGTCATAAAAAACCAAAATTAAAAACCAAACAGAACTGTGGGAAAGAACTCACCACTGTTCTTTTGATACAGGGCCTTGGGCCTGGTAACTATCTGCAAGGCTGTTGTAATGATGTTAATCTGTTTTAATGGAATTGAAATGTGATATCCTGTGGTTTATGATGCACGTTGTTTATAGCTTCAGTGCTTGATTTTGGGTTTCTTTCACAGATAAACTTCTGCACTGGAGGGGCCTCTCCTCCCCTCGTTCTGCACACGGAGCTCTAATCCCCACGCCCGGGATGAGTGCAGAATATGCCCCGCAGGGTATTTGTAAGTTGAACATTATTTCTTCTACAAATGTTTATATGTGTAGAGATGAGAGTTTCTGGAAATTACCCTTACTTTTTAAGTACTGAAAGGAGTTACTTTCAAAATGTATTGGCATCTGCATATTTATTATTCCATTACTCACTTGGCACTTGCTCCCCTAGTCCATTCCGCCCCAAGTGGCTTTTTTCTCCTCCCCCTTTTCTTCCTTTCCTTACTGAAGGCATGGGGCTGATAACAGCTCATCCCTGCAGGTCTCCTCCCCAGGGTCTTCTGTGGCTCCATGGCTGGTGACTGCATACATCTGTGTGTTCAAGGCCCATTTTATTGCCGGACATTCACTCCCGTGGCCTCGTTTGGGACTTTGAATTTATTTCATGGCATACATCTTTAGCAGAGGCCAGAACCAAAAGGAGTCAAGTTTAGAGTTACTCTAGAGCTGTCCTTATGCATGTTGTATATGCACTTACCATGTATATTTAAACATGGTGTATTTTTATATATGCATGGTACATTACATATGTGCATACATACATAATTTCTACTTGTTTTTCTCCTAGATTTAGAGAAAAATGCACAGTAATGTTGCTAAAATTCAAAGATACCACCCCCACCCACCCCCACCATCACTACCACCATCCAGTTACTTGTCTAAGCCAACCTTTATAGTGGGGAGCTTTTTATGAAATTTAGATTTGTATGTTTATAAAAATGTTTTGGAAGATGCTGTTTTAGAAGGTAATACAGTTTGCTTCTCTCTGTAGGAATAAATGGCGTGAGTCACACACGGCTAAAAAGTTGGATGGGGCCCAGGGCAGGGGGCAGTGGGGTTGATTCCACCCCAAACACAAAAAAAAGTAGGTTCAAGAAAAAAAGAAGTGTGACATCTAATTTGTATCTCAGGAAAATATTTTCATCTTGAAAGTAAATGGAAAAAAAATAATAACCTGTTGTGGAAAGAAAAAAAGGAAGGGAAATTATCACGGAAAGAGAATAATCAAGAGCAAGATGCTGGAGTTGGGGCCTTAAAGGGGACTCATTTTCGGATGGGAGACGAACTAGATCCAACCATCTGGTGAATAGTGTCTGCAGGGCAGGGCCTGCTCCTTGAGACCAAATTCAAAGCTCGTTGTTTATTTTTGTTAACTCCTAGGTAATCCTAGGTAACAAAGAGTTATTGTGTGAATTTCACAAGCCCTCAAGTCCTGAGGGCTGGGTGGTGCAGGGGTTAAAAGCATCTCCTTTGCCCCTCTCCTCCCCCCAACCCCAAGCTGGGCCAAAGCCTGGGTTAGGTCACCGATTGCAGAGTTTAGGGGGTGGACTCATGGTTTCAAGTCCCTACACGCTGACTGGGTGGGGAGAGCTCTCCGCATTTCGCTGGGGGTGCCTGGGGCTCACACCGGCTGTGGGAACAGAGCCACCCTTGGAGGGAAGGAGGAAGGGAGTAGGGCAGTAGAGGGGAGGGTGGAGCCAGGTGGCCGAGGGCTGCTGCCTGGAAAACAGTTTAGTTCTGTCTTCTTCCCGATCCTTCTGAGGGCAGGGAGTTTTGATTTGAGGGGTGGGACACTAGGAGCCTGATTAGGAGCCCCTGTTTTCTTCCACTTCCGGCAGTGGGAGGGAGCCTAGTTCGCTGATAACCATGCTGGCAGGACCAATTTAGGAGTGACCAGAACAAGGTATGTGGAAATGGGTAGTAGGGCTCCAAAAATCTCTCTAGCAAACCTGACCCTGGCCCCACTCAGCTGCCTCGACCAGCTGTCCTTGACCTTCAGAGCATTTAGCATTTGCTTTGTGGCCTCCCTGCTGGGTGCACCAGGGTCATGGGCCTTAAAAAAATTGCCCCCTCCTGCCTTCCTCTAACCGAGAGCTCCTCTTGGCCTGGGGAGGCCTGGATTCTGCATTCCAGTCTTTTCCCTGGAAGCCCTTGTGTAATAAAAAACCCACATTCATGTTGGACCTGATAGTTTATGCAGAGCTTTTATATACATTTGTCATTTGAGCCTCACAATTCTTTAAGGAACTGTTTTTTACCTTCATTTTACAGGTAGGAAACCTAAGCCTCAGAGAAATGAAATCACTGTCCCAGAGCCACCAGCTAGTAAACAGTAGAGCCAGGGGTCCTGCATCAGACCTTGCTCTTCCATGTCCTGAGGCTTAGATCACATGACTCTTGAGCATTGGTGACAAACTAGAAATGGGGTCATTCCTTCCCTTACAATAAAATGAAGTAAAAGCCGTAGGTGAGCTAATAGCTGATTTTAACTGTTTTGATGCCTCAAGTTCCTGTGCTTGGGGCTGGGTCTCCATTTATTGCTCTAAATCAAAACAATCCCCGCGAATGCCCAATGAGGCTCTCAAATTGAGAAGTTGATTTTCATCAGAGTAAATGAAGAATATTATTATATTTTACACGTCAATAAATCAATGTAGCCCTAATTTTGCCACGCAGGAAATCAATTCTGGTCTTTCTAAACCATCAAAGATGTTATGAACAAAGTAATTTCACAAATTATGGCAAGTAACACATTTATTGATGACTGCAGTTTAGGAATTTAGAATCTGTGAGCACTGTAATATAATATGGTGCACTGGCATGAGCTGAGTGAAATACAGATTATATGGTGAAACCGTAATGCATCATTTGCTATTAGTGGACTGGTAATAATTACCAGTTTCAAAGCAGCTCTTTCCATGTAATCTTTAGTCTCAATCGTAACAGCCCTTCTCATTGACATTATGATTACACTAGCTGCCCTCATGATCTAGAATATCTAGTTGATGGGAATACTAAAATGTGGTAGTGAAAACTGTATGTTGTGTGCTCATTATAAGATAAAATGCCATTTTCTCTGACCTGATGTATGAGAGAGAGGGGAGGGTAACAGCACAGTGTTAACATATTGTGGCATGATCATATAACTGGCTCTGAAAACAAAATTTTAGGAAGCTCAGGGCAGCAAAATAAAATGGACTTTTCTCATTTAAGTCTGTTTGAAAAGGATACAGATGAGATCCTTGATGTAGCGCTAGAGATTTCAGCATTTATCAATGGCTGCATTCATGGTGCATGCAAAACCAGCATCGCTAATTATGGATCCAGGCCTGGGCTTCAATAGAATATTATAAGGTAAAATATGATTTAAAAGCATTTGTAGTGATGAAAGTGTTAAGGACTTGCTTCAGCTGACAAATCTCCTTTTTACTTACCCAATTCAGATTGTCAGGCTAAATGTATGATAATAACACAGAGTTCTAGAGAGGCAAAGGAGAAAGCCACAGAGGGTCACGGTAGTTGGAACCAGATAGTTTTTTTCTTGCCTATTTAGGACCCAAGTCATTGTTCAACAACAACAAAAAAATTTATGAAAATACTCTCAATGATGCTTTTTATTTCCCTTTGAAGAGAGGAGGCAAACAAAAATAGGCAGATAATGTGATACTAATGTCAGCATTTTCTTTCAAAATCTTTCTGCCTTTTTTTTCTCCTCCACATTAGGCAAATGTTTGAAACCTAATTTTGGTATCTTATCATCTAATCTTGTTAAAGAGATTTACCCAGGAGTGGGATATATTGAGTGAGATTATAAATGCATTGTAAAGTAAATTACAAGGTCAGGGCGGGGAGTCCATTATTCAGACAAGTGCTTGAGTGAGGCTGGCTTGTTTTGGAACAGGAGTGTTTGGGGCTCCTGTTAAGACGCTGCCAGCTTTTCTTTCTGACTTGCTAAATGGAGGAATCATCAATTGATTAATTTCTCATTCTCACTCTTTAACTCCACGGTGAATTTTTTTCCTTTTTCAAAGGTTACTGGCAAATACTAGCTGTGGCCTTAAGGAACTCGTCTTCCCCCACTTTTTTAAAAGAGGCGCTGAAGTGTATTTCTCATTTGTGTTTTATACAGTGTCTTTTTGGAATTGCTGGGAAGTTAGTGATTTTTCTCATCCTAGTCCTTTGGCCACCAGCATTTGCACCCTTTTTAATGCTGAGTTGACTGGAAAACTGTTAGTTGCTCCCTGGTTGTATATGTTTTTTAATTTAGTTATCTCCAAAGAGGAATGATTGGGAAGTCAAACTGGCCCCTCCTTGCCACAGCGGCATTTCCCATTCTCGGATTCTTTTCAGTGAGAGAGAAATAATGTGACTTAAGCAGGGCCCCTCTCCAGACGGCTTGGCTACTGGCCAGAGAGTTGACTAGCTGAACTGTGTCTTTCTGTTTCTTTCTCAACTGGAGCTGAGGCTCAGCCGAGGGCGCAGGATGTCGTATAATTTGGTTCACGTTGTTAGCCTCTCAAAATAATGAGGAGGAGGCTAGTGTAGCATTTCTCTGCCTGCTGCCCATCATGGTACTGGCTGCTTTAACTGTTCTTAAACTAGGATGCCGTGTCTGCTTAAGTTGGCACCAGACACTCCACCTAACTTCTCCAGACTCGCATTTGTTTGACTGGGGGGCACAACTCCTAAAGATTTGATACAGCCTGTTGGTTAAATCTGAATTAAACTTCTCTTTTGAGATTTTTGCAGCATTCCTTAAGATAAAAATGGGAGTCCTTGTGGGGTGCTGTGGAACCAGAATTGGGACTCACTGACTTTCACACCGGCTGGGATGTGAGAATATTGCTAGTCTGTCTTTTATGTAATTATTTCATGAGTACCTTCTCATTTTTAACAATAGCAACAATTAGTGTGTTTCAGGCTAAGATTAAAAGCATCTCTAGGGCCATAGAGAACTGTACTGAGTTGACCTTCTCTTTTTTGGTATCTCCATGAAATGATTGCCCATTTGGAATGTTCCTCTGTCACCCAAGGGGATTTAGGAAGCAGCCAAGTTTCCCTTAGGCCAACATGTCCAAGTCCCTCACTTAACTGATGAGGAAACAGAGGCACAGAGATGGAGTTGCTTGCCCCAAACCACAGCTGGTGAAAGAAGGGAAAGTTAAGAAGATGTTTCAGTGTAGGGACCCTTATCCTCAAGCTTGAATTGGTCTAGATTTTTCTGCTTTAGAGACTAGATTTAAAATTCTTAGAACTGTGTCAAATGGCAGGGAGACTGATTTGACAGATACTTATTGGGCACCAACCTCCAGATGTGTCAGCACCATCTAGGCCAGGGGATGAGGTCAGTGAGGGCTTCAGGCCTTGGGGTGGAGGGCTGGGGGCAGGGAAGGCTGGAGGTGGAACATAAATAAGCAATTGCTGATGCCCTCATCGGTGATTAAACATTGATGTTGGTGTTGTATTATTTTGCAGGTAAAGATGAGCCCAGCAGCTACACATGTACAACTTGCAAACAGCCATTCACCAGTGCATGGTTTCTCTTGCAACACGCACAGAACACTCATGGATTAAGAATCTACTTAGAAAGCGAACACGGAAGTCCCCTGACCCCGCGGGTTGGTATCCCTTCAGGACTAGGTGCAGAATGTCCTTCCCAGCCACCTCTCCATGGGATTCATATTGCAGACAATAACCCCTTTAACCTGCTAAGAATACCAGGATCAGTATCGAGAGAGGCTTCCGGCCTGGCAGAAGGGCGCTTTCCACCCACTCCCCCCCTGTTTAGCCCACCACCAAGACATCACTTGGACCCCCACCGCATAGAGCGCCTGGGGGCGGAAGAGATGGCCCTGGCCACCCATCACCCGAGTGCCTTTGACAGGGTGCTGCGGTTGAATCCAATGGCTATGGAGCCTCCCGCCATGGATTTCTCTAGGAGACTTAGAGAGCTGGCAGGGAACACGTCTAGCCCACCGCTGTCCCCAGGCCGGCCCAGCCCTATGCAAAGGTTACTGCAACCATTCCAGCCAGGTAGCAAGCCGCCCTTCCTGGCGACGCCCCCCCTCCCTCCTCTGCAATCCGCCCCTCCTCCCTCCCAGCCCCCGGTCAAGTCCAAGTCATGCGAGTTCTGCGGCAAGACGTTCAAATTTCAGAGCAACTTGGTGGTGCACCGGCGCAGCCACACAGGCGAGAAGCCCTACAAGTGCAACCTGTGCGACCACGCGTGCACGCAGGCCAGCAAGCTGAAGCGCCACATGAAGACGCACATGCACAAGTCCTCCCCCATGACGGTCAAGTCCGACGACGGCCTCTCCACCGCCAGCTCCCCGGAACCCGGCACCAGCGACCTGGTGGGCAGCGCCAGCAGCGCGCTCAAGTCTGTGGTGGCCAAGTTCAAGAGCGAGAACGACCCCAACCTGATCCCGGAGAACGGGGACGAGGAGGAAGAGGAGGACGACGAGGAAGAGGAAGAAGAGGAGGAAGAGGAGGAGGAGGAGCTGACAGAGAGCGAGAGGGTGGACTACGGCTTCGGGCTGAGCCTGGAGGCGGCGCGCCACCACGAGAACAGCTCGCGGGGCGCCGTGGTGGGCGTGGGCGACGAGGGCCGCGCCCTGCCCGACGTCATGCAGGGCATGGTGCTCAGCTCCATGCAGCACTTCAGCGAGGCCTTCCACCAGGTCCTGGGCGAGAAGCATAAGCGCGGCCACCTGGCCGAGGCCGAGGGCCACAGGGACACTTGCGACGAAGACTCGGTGGCCGGCGAGTCGGACCGCATAGACGATGGCACTGTTAACGGCCGCGGCTGCTCCCCGGGCGAGTCGGCCTCGGGGGGCCTGTCCAAAAAGCTGCTGCTGGGCAGCCCCAGCTCGCTGAGCCCCTTCTCCAAGCGCATCAAGCTCGAGAAGGAGTTCGACCTGCCCCCGGCCGCGATGCCCAACACGGAGAACGTGTACTCGCAGTGGCTTGCCGGCTACGCGGCCTCTAGGCAGCTCAAAGATCCCTTCCTTAGCTTCGGAGACTCCAGACAATCGCCTTTCGCCTCCTCGTCGGAACACTCCTCGGAGAACGGGAGCTTGCGCTTCTCCACGCCGCCCGGGGAGCTGGACGGAGGGATCTCGGGGCGCAGCGGCACGGGAAGTGGAGGGAGCACGCCCCATATTAGTGGTCCGGGCCCGGGCAGGCCCAGCTCAAAAGAGGGCAGACGCAGCGACACTTGTGAGTACTGTGGGAAAGTCTTCAAGAACTGTAGCAATCTCACTGTCCACAGGAGAAGCCACACGGGCGAAAGGCCTTATAAATGCGAGCTGTGCAACTATGCCTGTGCCCAGAGTAGCAAGCTCACCAGGCACATGAAAACGCATGGCCAGGTGGGGAAGGACGTTTACAAATGTGAAATTTGTAAGATGCCTTTTAGCGTGTACAGTACCCTGGAGAAACACATGAAAAAATGGCACAGTGATCGAGTGTTGAATAATGATATAAAAACTGAATAGAGGTATATTAATACCCCTCCCTCACTCCCACTTGACACCTCCTTTTTTCACCACCCCCCTCCTTTTCCCCATGGCCCTCCAGCCCCACTCCCTGTAGGATTTTTTTCTAGTCCCATGTGACTTAAACAAACAAACAAACAAACAGAAGTAACGGAAGCTAAGAATATATGAGAGTGCTTGTCACCAGCACACCTGTTTTTTTTTTCTTTTTCTTTTTTCTTTTTCTTTTTTTCCTTTATGTTCTCACCGTTTGAATGCATGATCTGTATGGGGCAATACTATTGCATTTTACGCAAACTTTGAGCCTTTCTCTTGTGCAATAATTTACATGTTGTGTATGTTTTTTTTTTTTAAACTTAGACAGCATGTATGGTATGTTATGGCTATTTTAAATTGTCCCCGATTCGTTGCTGAGAAAACATGTTGCTGTTTCCAGTTCCGTTCTGAGAGAAAAAGAGAGAGAGAGAGAAAAAGACCATGCTGCATACATTCTGTAATACATATCATGTACAGTTTTCTTTAATAACGTGAGGAGGAAAAACAGTCTTTGGATTAACCCTCTATAGACAGAATGGATGGCACTGAAAGAAAATCTCTACAAGCTAAATGTCTGTCTCTAAAGGGTTAAGCGTATCAATTGGAGAGGAAGAAAAGGCCTTGAATTGACAAATTAACAGAAAAACAAAACAAGTTTATTCTATCATTTGGTTTTAAAATATGAGTGCCTTGGATCTATTAAAACCACATTGATGGTTCTACTTGTTATAAACTTGTAGCTTAATTCAGCATTGGGTGAGGTAATAAAACTTAGGACCTAGCGTATAATTCTATATTGTGTTTCTCACAACAATGGCTACCTAAAAATATGACCCATTATGTCCTAGTTAATCATCATTTTCCCTTTCGTTTAATCTTGTAAGCAAAACTGATTATACCAGTATAAAAGCTATTTTGCTCCTGGTGAGAGCTTAAAAGAAATGGGCTGTTTTGCCCAAAGTTTTATTTTTTTTAAAATGATGATTAAATTGAATGTGCAACGTGCAAAACCCCTGGAACATGATTAATTACATTAGTAAGGAATTCATTTTATGAAGATAACTTGTCTTAAATAACATCTTTTGAAAAAAAATTCTGGCACCAAAAGAAATAGATCCAGATCTACTTGGTTGTCAAACGGACAATCAAATGATAAACTTTAAGATCGTATAGCATATTTAAGAGAAGAGACTGACAATAAGGTTTGACCGAGGGTAACAGAGGAAAAAAATATGTGATTTACTAGCACAACATGGTACTATTTGCCATTTTAAACTAGAACAGGTGTATAAGCTAATATTGATACAATGATGATTAACTATGAATTCTTAAGACTTGCGTTTAAATGTGACATTCTTAAAAAAGAGAAAGAATTTTAAGAGTAGCAGTATATATGTCTGTGCTCCCTAAAAGTTGTACTTCATTTCTTTTCCATACACTGTGTGCTATTTGTGTTAACATGGAAGAGGATTCATTGTTTTTATTTTATTTTTTTAATTTTTTCTTTTTTATTAAGCTAGCATCTGCCCCAGTTGGTGTTCAAATAGCACTTGACTCTGCCTGTAATATCTGTATCTTTTCTCTAATCAGAGATACAGAGGTTGAGTATAAAATAAACCTGCTCAGATAGGACAATTAAGTGCACTGTACAATTTTCCCAGTTTACAGGTCTATACTTAAGGGAAAAGTTGCAAGAATGCTGAAAAAAAAATTTGAACACAATCTCACTGATGAGCATTTTAAAAAAAAAAACTAAAAAAACCTTTGCCAGCCATTTACTTGACTAATACTTACTTGGACTCAACATTGCAAGCGCTGTGAATGGAAAACAGAATACACTTAACATAGAAATGAATGATTGCTTTCGCTTCTACAGTGCAAGGATTTTTTTGTACAAAACTTTTTTAAATATAAATGTTAAGAAAAAAATTTTTTTAAAAAACACTTCATTATGTTTAGGGGGGAACTGCATTTTAGGGTTCCATTGTCTTGGTGGTGTTACAAGACTTGTTATCCATTTTAAAATGGTAGTGGAAATTCTATGCCTTGGATACACACCGCTCTTCAGGTTGTAAAAAAACATACATTGGGGAAAGGTTTAAGATTATATAGTACTTAAATATAGGAAAATGCACACTCATGTTGATTCCTATGCTAAAACACATTTATGGTCTTTTTTCTGTATTTCTAGAATGGTATTTGAATTAAATGTTCATCTAGTGTTAGGCACTATAGTATTTATATTGAAGCTTGTATTTTTAACTGTTGCTTGTTCTCTTAAAAGGTATCAATGTACCTTTTTTGGTAGTGGAAAAAAAAAGACAGGCTGCCACAGTATATTTTTTTAATTTGGCAGGATAATATAGTGCAAATTATTTGTATGCTTCAAAAAAAAAAAAGAGAGAGAAACAAAAAAAGTGTGACATTGTACAGATGAGAAGCCATATAATGGCAGTTTGGGGGAGCCTGCTAGAATGTCACACGGATGGCTGTCATAGGGGTTGTACATATCCTTTTTCGTTCCTTTTTCCTGCTGCCATACTGTATGCAGTACTGCAAGCTAATAACGTTGGTTTGTTATGTAGTGTGCTTTTTGTCCCTTTCCTTCTATCACCCTACATTCCAGCATCTTACCTTCATATGCAGTAAAAGAAAGAAAGAAAAAAAAGGAAAAAAAAAAACACCAATGTTTTGCAGTTTTTTTCATTGCCAAAAACTAAATGGTGCTTTATATTTAGATTGGAAAGAATTTCATATGCAAAGCATATTAAAGAGAAAGCCCGCTTTAGTCAATACTTTTTTGTAAATGGCAATGCAGAATATTTTGTTATTGGCCTTTTCTATTCCTGTAATGAAAGCTGTTTGTCGTAACTTGAAATTTTATCTTTTACTATGGGAGTCACTATTTATTATTGCTTATGTGCCCTGTTCAAAACAGAGGCACTTAATTTGATCTTTTATTTTTCTTTGTTTTTATTTTTTTTTATTTGGATGACCAAAGGTCATTACAACCTGGCTTTTTATTGTATTTGTTTCTGGTCTTTGTTAAGTTCTATTGGAAAAACCACTGTCTGTGTTTTTTTGGCAGTTGTCTGCATTAACCTGTTCATACACCCATTTTGTCCCTTTATTGAAAAAAATAAAAAAAATTAAAGTACACAATGTAAGCTTCTTGTGTCCTCATTTGACACACTCTGTAAATTACTTTCAAGAAAATAACAGGTTTTAAGAGAAGGCCAGTCAGTCTTTTTGAGGATTATTTCTATGGGCATTTTGATGCGTGTATTATACCTAAAGGAACATAAAGTATGTAGTATATTAAAATAGACATATCTCAAATCATGGAAATAGTTTTTAGACTTTATAGTTCTAGAATAATTTTCAAGAAATGGAAAGTGTTTTCAGTCCGATGTTAAAAACTTTCCCTCCATCTCTTAGCAGTAATCCATTCAGTTACAAATGAAAAGCTTACTGGTAATAGCATCTTAAACTTTTATTCCCTTTGGATTTTTTGCTGTTCTTGTTGTGTAAAAGTTCTTTTCTGTTCTCCCATCCCTACCCTATCTTAGAACATAATGCAAAAAAGTTTTTTTTTCTAAATCAGCTGTTTTGTTTCAGAGTGAGTCTTTCCTCATCCCAAAAATAACCGCCCCCCTCCCCATCCCCACCATCCAAAAATCCAGAAATGAAAGCATTAGGCAAAAGAGAGAGAGAGAGAAAAAAAGGGGGGGGGGAGAAAGCAGGAGTTTAGCCAGATATGGCCAAATCTGTGGAATCAGCCACTGATTTCCTGAGATACATGGTGGTTTGCTCTGTGATTCTGAGATCCTAAGGACCCTAGATGGGACGAATCTTTTAAGTGTTTTTATAGGATCTAACTCGCTGATAGCAAATGAGGGTGGGGGTACCCTTCAGTTATCTTTGGGCCAACCAACAGATGTGTGAAATGAAGCAACGTCTTTGAGAAGCTAGTTAGGTCTGTTTTTAAAAAAACCCTCCTTAGAAATCTGTGTTGTCAGTTTTATAAATACTGCATGTTGCAGCATCTATTTGCTTTATCACATACCTCTGTGATACTGTCTCCCTGTTTCCAGTGTAGGTGAGTGGATACGACATTGTTCTTATTTTTGTAAAAACCAAAACAAAAGCCATTCTGTTGTCTTGTGGTAGCATTTCTGTTGCTCAGTTCTTATGCCCTGGTGCCTTGTGAGGTGGCCTTTTCACAGAATGTCTTATCTGAGGCAAGAATAGTTTTATCATTCTAAAATATAGAGAAAGTAGGTGTATTTTTTTGAAGCCCATTTGGGTGGGAGGCAGAGTGGAGGCAGACAGGAATTCAGTAAGAGAGGATTTGGGAGAGCATTGTACAGGAGCTGGGATGGAATGAGGGGGCACTTGCAGAAACTGATAATTGGCAGTGGAGTGAGAGGGGATATATGTTTTAGATGAGGTTACTTCACAGATGAGTCCAGGATGCTGTTTAAGAGAGAAATATTCTTCAGTGGCCAGGCCGGTTTTGGACATAGTGACTTCTGCTCAACCATATTAAATGTCCATAAAACCGCTGTGTGTTCCTATTCCTCTTTTCTTAGGAAGAATGAGTACAACTGTGCAGGTTTTATGTACAGTATTCATTTTAATTTCTCAGTATATGATGCTCTTAGTGTAATTAGGTTTTGCATCCCGACAGAGAGAATTAATAGTGGATACTGTATGCTTGTATGCTCAGATTCCTTAAATCAAATGGAGAATGGGGAGGGGTGCAAACATTTGGTGATAAATCACAGATTAGGTTTGATTTACATGGTCCCAAAGTTAAATAAATTTATTGGGAGACAGGTACTTCAGGGTTCTCAGTCTCCTGACTTACTGAAGCCCTCTTATAAAATATTATTCCTGAGGCTGCGTGCACAACAGAAGCTTGAAAACTTAGGCAACAAGAATATAACTTATAAATGACATCTTGTATCTGAATCCTAAAATTAAAAATCTTAATGTAAAATAACAAAAAAAAATTTTGAACAGTGGGATGAATTCATGATGAAGCTTTAAAATAAGGAAATACTAAGGGCACGAACACATTTCAAAATTCTCAAGTTTATGGGACACCCCTGAATGCAATGGTCTCTACATACTTGAACTCCCGATGCCTAAAATGTTCCCTTTTATCTTCAAGAACAATTTAATAAACAGGAATACAGTCATACCATTTCTTACAGATGTTAACCCAGAACCTCTCCAGTACATGTACTACCTTCATCCTGAGACCATTTACTATCCTCTCTCTGTTAAGGACGTACAAAAGGACTGAGACTAACACATTTTAATGGTTGCTAAGAAGTGAGGTGAATGCTTGGTTCTTCCTTTGTACCAGCAATGGCAGGAAGTGTGAAGTAGTTGAGTTTTTCCCAGGGCATTCTGTGATGGAACTGTTTATTTAAATACCATTCTTGTATATGCAATAAGTACATACTGTATATATTTATAATGCTTGAAGTGAGAACTTGAAAGGAAGTGGCAGTGGGGGTTAGATATCATTTCATTTGGAGAAATAAGGAAATGAGACGGTTTATTCACAGACACTAAAAGTTTGTTAAAAGGTACTGGGATATTTCAGGCCTTCCTGAAAAGGAGTTGAGAAGCCTCAGGCCCCATCCTGTCCTGCTTCAAACACTTTACTCTCAGAGAGTGAGGGAGGAAATACAGCATTTTCGTTTTCTTTAAAACCCTCGCCTGTTCCACACATACACAAACATGGTTTCTTAGGACTGTTGTAATCGTGTGTTTTTCATTATGATTCTGTTACTCCATTGTCCCTGGGCCTGGTGTTCAAGAATGTACACATTCCTATGCTCTTTTTTTCAGACAACTACCCACTAAAAAAAAAAAAATGTGGAATTTTGCTGGTATGAGGATGAGATTGGCAGTGCTCTTTAAACCTGCTTGGAAAAATGTTGTTTTAAAAAGACTGTTAACTTTTAAAAGGCATTAGACACTTAGCAAATTTTCCTAAGTGTCTCCTAAGGCCCTGCAACTTTCCCAATTAGGAATAAATAAAGCCATTTTCAGAGACATGGACATCAGAACACATAGACGGAATTGGGATTATGTGCGTTTATTCCAGGGTCGCTTTAACTACAAATTGTAGACATGAGTGGTTGGGTCTGCACTTTGGCTTGCTGTCGTCTTGTTATCCCAGTAGCCCGCTGTTTCATTTAGTAAAACACATGGCCAGTGAATCAGCCTTTAGGGGGATGGGTCTATTTCTCTCTCTCTCTCTGTTTCCCAGTGTCATCCATGATCATGGGGTGCGATTAATGCCTCCTTACAAATGGGAAAGGAGACCTGTATTGTTCATGTGGGTCGTTGTACTCAAGAACCTAAACTTGGCCGAACACAACTCCATGGTTGATCCAAATACTGTTTTTCCTTTCTGTAAAGTGATAAAGGGAGCAGTTATCACGTCTTTACGAGCTGGCAGAAAAGGGAAATTAAGCCATTTCCCCAAAGTCTGTCCTCTAAAGCAGGACCCACCCCCCTCAACCCATAGAGGGCTGTGCTTTTAAATAACGATGGACGTGGTACACGCCCATGCTAACTATACTTTATTAGGGCTTTAAACATTGGTAGCAGGTCTAACAAAGGGGCTTGATGGAGGTTTCAGCTAAAGGGGCCTCAACGACAGTGACTTAGGGCTGGGCCGGAATGGGATTCCCCAGAGCCCACCTGGACACAGCAGGGCCCTCAGCCCAGGTCTCCCCTGCTCAGGGGGGGAGTCGAGAGAGCAGCTGAGCTCCAGACCCTGGGCCTCCTGCAGCGCCAAGTCAGGGGCGAGGAGGCCCCAGGCCCCTGCTTCGGGTCGCCATGGCAACGAGGCCTGGAATGCCACAGTGGTAGCCCTCTTCCTCTGCACGTCCGGACTCCCAGTTCTGCTGCTTCAAGTCAATGTGCACAGCAAGGGAGGAGCCCCGGAGGAAAATAACCACTCCCTTCTTCCCTTCACCACTGCCTTGCCCCCTTACAAAAGAGAAAAAAAGAAAAGAAAACTGCATGTCTGAAAGAAACTACAGGCAGTTTTTGGTGCCATTTGGGAGCAACTATTTTGAGTTCTGGTTTCCTCTTCAGAGATTTGTTCGCCTCTTGTAAATCGTTGGCTGCTTTGACGTTGAACTTGATGACATTTCATGTTTTCGTTGTGCTGCTTTTACATCAATTTTGATTTTTTTGTTTCTTTATAGTTTTGTTATTATTTTAAGGAAATGTCCCCCTTCCCTCCTCCCTCCCCTGTTCTCCTCAACCAAAGGACTGTTTCCTACTCAGTTTTCTCAGTCATAAGGGAAAGTGTTTCCTTCCAGGTGTGTCCCCAGCTTATTAGGACTATCCTATGATGGGTCGGGGAGGGGGTCTGGGTCCTTTGGGGGAAGGCAGGGAGGGAGGCATGGGAAAGGCACTCAGAAGTCAGAGATTTGGGGGAGGGGGGAGATTGAGTTTGAAATCGTGTTTAAGATGCCGGTGGCTCAACCTGTGCTTGCTTTTAATTACAATTTTAAGAAGCTAGTTAGAGAACAGAAAAATCACTGGGCCAAGTCACACCTGTACTTTTTTTTTTCCCCTCCTCCTCTGTCTCCAACCTCTTTCTAGGTTCTTCACACACCCCCATTCGGCGTAGTACCCAGAGAGCTCAAGATGTGTGGCAGTTTTCGGATGGAAGCTCGAGAGCCCTTAAGTTCTGAGAAAATTTGAAGCCCCCAGGGGCGGGGTGGATGCGTGCCGCCCAGCCGACATCTGCGTGGTCTGTCATCCTGCTAGTTTGTGATGTTTTCTGACAGTAGCCTCCAAGAAGCCGTTGTGCGAAGACAGAGTCCTGCAGAGTCCTTCCTGCCCGGGCCTGCAGTGCCATTTTATTTATATTTTTTAATAAAAAGCAAAAACAAAAAAACAGACCCACACTGGAACCGTGAATCAGTCCCATATAGAGGGCCCGTGGACCATTACTGCCCCGAGTGCCGTCCTGGCCCTGCTGAGACCAGCCAAACCTAATTCCCCGTATTGTGGAAATGAGCATGAGTCCCCCAAACCCCTTGTTTCTATACATTCTATGTTGTCTTTTAAAAAGTGTGCTTAACATTGACACAATAAATGTTGGAGCTTTAGGTGGTGTT